TCATTGGCGAGATATCTCTTTTTTGCGGTACATTGAGTTCATGAGCGAATGCGACAAGTATTAGGTATCTTTTGACCAGAATGATGTTGGTGACAGTGGGATCCTTGCAAGAACCGGATTGTTGAGCATCCAGATCATATGTAGCCGATCTATCTAATGTCTACTTGAGAGTCCCTTGCGAGAGCTTTTGGAAATCGAAATGACAGCAAAAAGGCAGACATCTCTTCTAAAATCGTCCTTTCGACAGCCAAAGCGGGGTTTTCTATGGTGTGGGTGACTATTGATTTATCTATTGTCAAGTCGCGAGTCCCAGGGCACACCGAAAGTTTGCGCAAGTACTATTACTTGTTTCCACCTTTGTTCGCCATCCATCCGGCTCTCGTTTGCAATTGGACTCGCATCCCGCCACGAGACGAGTTAGAATGGCTGCATGTAGCTTCATAGAGAGAATCGCTTTGCGCTTGCGATTCTAAATTTTCACTTTCGGTTGCGTTTTAAGTCTAGCTTTGGGAGTTTCGCATTCTCTTCTTTAAAGTGTTCTTTGACAGGTACCTAGGTAGAAAAAGCTGCCAATCCCGCTTGTTCATGATAGGTACCGCCGGATCCGTGTCCCACTCTTGAAGAGGAGTCGGTGGCTTTTGCAACGGGTGCAAACGGCGAGGACAACTGAACAAGAAAACGGCCATGAGAACCCAAGAAGGATCTTTACACCTTGAAAAGAAACAACGAAGACCTCTCAATAATCCGAAGATGAACTACGCTCAGGTCCATTTCAGGCTCAGGTCCACGGATAATGGACTCATGGGCGCTTTACGGCGCAGCTTGCAATAAACTTGCTGATGATGATCGGTCATGAATATGGCCATAGATCTGATCGCAGCTGTCCAGTCTGAGCTTCCAATTCTATTTCAGCCCCAATGGGCAGTTTCTTTGTCCAACAACCGGGTTAAGAGTGCCGAATCCCAGGGCGGACATTGGAGATGTGGGATCATGTGACTTCGCGTTCAGTAGCCGAAGATTTCGTGTCTGCTGGCGTGTTGATAGGGCTGCCGTAATCTGCTACTCATTTTGCACCAACAATGGAATTTATTCGACAGGAAATGTAAAAGAATATGTCGCTTTATATCAAAGAATATAAAATCTAGTCAGTAACTGTGTTTTTCTTGTAGTTGTCTGATTTGTGGCTATTATTGTCAGGAGGAGGGTTGACGGGGGGACGTGTCGCATGATGTCATTGGAGCGTAGAAATGACCCGAGAGATAGCAAACAGTGCAAACTGATCGGAATAGGAGAATCCACAATAAAGGCATCTGACATAAGCATGCCGCAGCAACGAAGTTACCGAGCTAAACCTAGGATAGTTTAGCACCTCCCTGTAAGGTTGTTGTTTATTGTCCACCAACAAATGTAAGGCAGGCCTTTTTAGGTAAGGTACGGTTACTGCAGCAGTAAGGTATCCTGTAGAAGGAGCTACAGTAAAGGCTGACTCCCTCCTCCCTCGCAATTTTTGAGGTCTTTGTTTTGATTTTTCTTCTTGATCCCTTCGTCTCAGCTCAGTTTCAAACTTTCTTGTTCATCCCTTATGGTCGAGTTCGTCCTCAAATCTTAAGGCGCGGTTTGTTGTTTGTTTGGGACGGCGCTTTAGTACTTCCGCTATAATTTAGTACTTCGACCACTGCGCAGCGACAAGGGAAAAAGGTAAACAAGCGACTTCAACGCCCCAAACAACCACGACACTACATAGTCTGGTGAAGGATCTTATATCCTTCCCTGGATAGAGTTGTCTGTCAGAGATGGATGCAAAGGTACGTCAAAATCCTCTTCGTTTGTCCATCAATAGCTTCTTGTCAGCCACTACCAAGGGTACTGTTTTGCAGTCGTAATGGTGAAACTCGACACGCGACGAAGACTTATGATCCCTCATGATGAATACGTCTTGCATGTTGACTGATTCTGATTGTCTACAGCCCCAACGAATTCGCGTCCGTACGGACGAGAATGCTCCCGTCGCCCTGCCTGGCAACAAAACGATCCATCACCGAAACAAGTCCACCCCCGCCTTATCTGCGGCCTTTCAAAATGGCACGACTAGAAACGGTTTTAGAAGGGCTGCATTTGGCGACGTCAGCAACACTGCCAACCTCGTCAAAGGAAGTCGAGATGATGCCTCCCTTGCGGGGAAGAAGCAACTCAAAGTCGCAGAGAAGGTGCCCGCAGTTGTCCCAGCGAGAAGAACGACCATTCTCTCGCAACCCGCTCAGCGTCCCATGTCGATGACTAGTCTGAAGGGTTTGGTGAACAATGTCTCCAACCCAAAGCCTCTTGAGCCCTCTGCCAAGCAGACGGGTATAAATCAGCACGCTCCCAATACCCGGAAGCCGCTGAACAAGCGTAACACAGTTTTCAAAGACACCCTAGAGCCATTGGCCGAAACTAAGGAATCTGCATCCAAGGAAAACGTCACTGAAGTGACAGATGAAAACAAGGGTACGGCTACCTCTTCGCCGGCCACAGAGCAGGACATCACCAAAGATGATGCTCGGTTGAACCAGGCTTCGAAGATACAATCAGACGACACAGAGGAATACTCCATTGTGAACTCTGACGACATCGACGGGATCAACAGGGACTTATACAAGGCTGATGACGACAATTGCAAAGTGCAGGTCATTGAGCAGTTGCCTGAACACGGCGCAACCACCAACGAAGTCGACGACCTCCCAAAGGCCCACCGCGAATCTGCCTCAAGTGCTCATCTAGCCCAGTCGGAGCCAGAGGAGTACTGGGATGAGGAAGATGACGACAACGAAGAGGATGATGGGTATGTCACTGCACGTTCCTACCGTTCTCGTGGCGATAACACGACCGGCGGAGCGACCACCATTCTGTTCCCTAAATACAACCCTCAAGTGCGTCGCGAGCTGGCTTTAGCCAAGCAGGTCGTCGAAGCCACTAGAACGGCGGAGGACATCGAAGATGAATATTGGGACACTAGTATGGTTGCTGAATACAGTGACGAAATTTTCGAATACATGCGGGAGCAAGAGGTATGTTGTTCCAGGTCAATTTGACGTATCTTGCAGCCTGACTGACCCGCTTCTAGATCAGGATGCTGCCAAACGCACATTACATGGATAATCAAGCCGAGATCCAATGGTCCATGCGCTCTGTTCTCATGGACTGGCTTGTACAGGTTCACCACCGGTTCTCGTTGCTCCCAGAGACACTTTTCTTGTGTGTGAACTATATCGATCGCTTTCTTTCGAGCAAAATTGTCTCCCTGGGCAAGTTGCAGCTTGTAGGTGCGACGGCAATCTTCATTGCTGCGAAGTATGAAGAGATCAATTGCCCATCAGTCCAAGAGATCGTGTACATGGTTGACGGAGGCTACACCGTGGACGAAATCCTGAAGGCCGAACGTTTCATGTTGAGCATGTTGCAGTTCGAATTGGGTTGGCCCGGCCCGATGAGTTTCCTGCGAAAGATTAGCAAGGCTGATGATTATGACCTGGAGACTCGCACGCTGGCTAAGTACTTCTTGGAGGTCACTATCATGGATGAGCGCTTTGTCGGAAGCCCTCCAAGCTTTCTGGCCGCTGGTGCTCATTGTCTTGCCAGGCTGATGCTGAGAAAAGGAACCTGGGTACGTTCACTCGCACTTGCGCGATAGTGTCATTTCTCTACGACTAACAGTTCCTCGTTAGACCCCGTCCCATGTCCACTATGCAGGCTACACCTACTCTCAACTCTATCCTCTGGTTTCACTGATCCTCGAATGCTGCGAGATTCCACGCAAGCATCACTCGGCCATTTTCGAAAAGTACACCGACAAACGTTTCAAGCGTGCTTCATTGTTTGCCGAGGCGGAAATCAAGAAGGGATTTTGTCTGCCTGAAGTGTCAAGAGAAGCTACCTCCAACGAGCGCAACTCACATAACGAGCCAGCTCACCACTGGAAACGAGTCTAAGCTGTGCCTAATCTCTATTTCTCGACACCTTTCTCTTTTTACCTATTTGAAGCCCACAATTACTTAACGTCCATATGCCTCTTTTCACCCAGGGTTCGTCTCGCTACATTCCACTCTCGACCACACGCACCCCGACCCTGCGTTGGTCATTTCCGCGGCTATAACAACATCATTACGTGCATGACAATATCGAGCTCTGACATGCATAGAGGCAAGAACCACAGAAAAATACTGTTGAAGAGAAAGGAAGATGGCAGAGAGATCATGCATCCCACGCTGTTCAACAGGGCTCCTGATTGAGACGCTCACGTCCACGTATCATCTCAAGAAAACCCGAAACTTTGCTTACGCACAATTCCTCACCTCATCATAGAACATCGGCTACGACTGGAGAGATCACAAGATACCAGATGGGTGGTGTTGTTTTCTTCAAGGTCTATTTGCTTAATGAAACGTACGACATGAAAAACACTCACTCAATCAAACAGGGACAAGGGGTGTTATGGTTCAAGGTCGCCATTGTATGAGTTTATCTTTTCTGTTCGGTGTCTCTGCAACCATGCATTTCTTTTGTCTATTCACCGGCCTCTTTTTCTGACTCCTTCCGTCAATCTTCTTTCATGACTGTATGCCCTTGATATGTTCACTTTGATTCCAATATGGTTTATGAAATGCTTGGTGGTTGAAGCACACCTAACAGAATAATTCTCCTAACCCCACTTCTCCTTGTCATAATTCTGGCCCCTGAATCCTCTCTTACTGCTCATGATTAATTCTCTGGGATAGAGGCGCGGCGATTAGTGAACACAATTGGACTTGATTTTCTGAGTAGCTTTCCAATCTCTATACCACGGAATCTCCAAGGGAAGAGGTTGAACATATCGATGCACATCTATTGGGACGATTCAAATGTAAGTCTATCAGAGGATATGTCGAATCAATCTATATGCACAGCTTTTGTATACCTTCCGACCAATCCCAAAGACCAACGCTAAAAGGATATCCAGCAAGACTCGGCCATCATAAGCAAAACTACTGATCCAACCCGTTAAACTCGACCAATTTCTTAACGATCTCGATCACCCGGTCGCCCAGGTCATCCGATACAGGACTAAAACCAGGGTTGTCGATGCGCGCCGCTATGATCTCATCCAGCATGAGGCGCAGTCGCGAGACGAGGACGCCGATGCGGGCCCAACCGCGAAGCCGCAGCCAGCCGTCAACAATGAGACCGCGGCCCATGGTATCGAGGTTGATGGATCCGCAAAAGAGGAGGAGGGAGTAAGGGTTGAAAGCTGGGCAGGCAGTCAGTATTGGTTCTATATTTTTGGGGGGAAGGGGCAAGGGGCGGGGAATGCGTACGGGTCAGATCCCGGATGAACACTTTGCTTGTCGCCATCTTGGTGAAGTAGCTAAGGTACGCGGCGGCGCCGGAGTAGCTCTGCGCGGAGAAAAGGAGGGAGCTTGGGTGGATGAAGACGCGGCCGTTTTCCTGGTTGAAGTATTTGATTGTCCGGGCGTCCGGGTCGATTTCGACGGTGCCTGTCATGGAACTGGCGAATTTCTTGTCTGGGAAGGAGATCTGTGCTACCTGCGGCTGGAAGGCGCCTGCGACGATGGCGCGGAGGAGGTTTCTGTTCCCGTTGTTGCGGTTCCAGGCGGAACCGGGTTCGGAGTCTGAGTAGTCGACTGGGAGGATGCCGGCGTCCTTGAGAGAGCTGATGAATTGGGCTCGGTTGGAGGAGATGTCGCGAAGGGTCTGGTGCGAGAGGAAGTTGGCGGAGCACCAGGACTGGGTCTGCCAGTAGCCCTGTGCTTTGGCTCGATCTGACCACTGCTGGTATGCGGCGAGGTCGGTGAGAAGATCGCCGTCGCCCTTGGAGAAGGATGCTTTGGCGGCGTTGGCTTCGTCGCGCCTGTCGCGGGGTGATATGAATGGGCTTTTCACCGTCAAGATAGCTGATATGGTGATGCAGGCATCAATGCAGCCGAAAATGGAGCCGTAGACCATGAGTTTGGCGCAGCGTAGGTCAGCCGGGATCATGGATAGGTATCGTCCGAGTGCCGTCAACCTGTCATGATCTAGAGCGCCGACACGATGCAGGAAATCCAGGGCACCCTCGACAGCGACGCTTTCAGGCGGTGTAACGGTGTTCGCCAAAAAGGTAGCGACATCGTCTATGCCTTTCATGGCTTTGACTGACAGGCACAGTTGCTCCAGTGGGACTCGGCGGATTTCAGGTTCTGGTCGCTGGGGCATACTCGATTCGGCTTTGCGAGTGTACAGCTTGTAGCACGAACCAGCCCTCACACGACCGGCACGTCCTCGTCGTTGCTTGCACGCTGCCTGGGAAGCCCAGACTTCCTGGAGGCGCACCATGTTGTCCTTCGGGTCGTAGCTAGTCTCTTTAACGCGGCCAGTGTCGATGACCGCGACCACATCTTCAATGGTGATCGACGTCTCGGCAACGTTAGTGGCAGCAATGACCTTTCTCTTGCCTTTGGGAGGGCTGAGGAAGACACGCTTTTGCTCTGCCGGCAGCAGGGACGCATGTAACGGGAGCGTATGAACATTGGGTATCTTCCGCACAGCATTCAAGCATCTTTCGATTTCCATAGTTCCGGGCAAGAATATCAGTATTCCTCCTGGTAGATCTCCCAATTGAGAGTCGATATAGCGGACAGTGGACGCGATCAATTCGTAGTTGATGCCCATTCCGAGGCCGCGAAGGAGCTTGCCTAACGGTTCGTCGCCTTGAGGAGGAGACATGACGTCTTCATCAAGACTTCTTTCGGCCAGTTCGGGTGCAAAACCGGTGTACCGGACGATATCATCCAGGTAATAGTCGCTAACTGGGAATGTTCGACCGGGAATGTTCACTAGGCCAACTTTCTCGCGACCCCCAAAATAGTTCATGAAGATCTCTGCATCCAGAGTAGCACTCATTAGGATGACTTTGATATCTGGTCGGTATCGGAGAACGTCCCTCAAGAGCGCCAGGAGAAAGTCGGTGTCAAGACTTCGTTCGTGAACTTCATCTACTACCACATGTGTGACATCCGCCAGAGAACCTGCGACATTGCCATCCGGCCCACTACCAGACTGCAGGCGACGAAGTAGGACACCAGTAGTGACAAAGGTGATCTTCGTCTCGCCAGGCTTCACCTTGGAATCTCCACGAATGATATATCCAACTTCTTTTCCCACCGAGGTGCATCGCTCGTCGCTGACTCGATCAGCTAGACCTAATGCTGAAATTCTGCGTGGCTGCGTGCAGATGATATTCGCAACGCCACCTAAGCCGCGTTTAATCATATCATCTAGTACAAATTGCACTGACTGAGTACTCTTGCCGCTTCCTGTTTCACCTGAAATAATGGTGACTTGATGCGTATTCACGGCATGTATGATAGCATCTTGAATTTTCCACGCAGGGAGAGACTCGCGTTTCTGAGTCATTTCTTGCTGTGCGTTTGTTGACTGCCTGGCCTTCCAAGCTTCTCTAATAGAGGCGCCTAGAGAAGAATCCGGTGTCCAATCAATCTTTCTGCTTTGCTTGCGTGACTGACGAACGGGAAGCCTTGAGAATGAGCCAACTGCAGATGAAGAGGCCGTTACTGTTGAAATGTCTCGCAGTTTGCCTGGATTTTCTATGATCCCTGGGAGATGTATTTCTAGCCAGTCCATTATGTTGAAAATCATTGACTCTCCCAGGTAGTTTTCCTCTGCGAACTGTACGGCTTGCCGTATCGCGCTGAGCCGTATATAAGCCGGGATACCAGTTCCCTGAATGGCGATCACAGGCACAGACGATGGATAACCCCCAGAAGGCTTCTGGAATCGAAAAGACAGAGATTCAGGAAGACTCGGTGCCTCGCTCTTGATTTCGCAGACTTTGGACGATATACGTTTGTAGCGTTCTCCGAAGATTGCTTCCAGTGTATCTTGCTCCTCTGCCCAGGAGTCTTCGTCCCCTGCGGACAACGAGTCGAGAGAATGGTTTTCACCGTGCACTAGTGTGATTTGCAAAAATTCTGCGGCTGCGAGCTCATCACCGTGCTTGCTATCCAGAGTTTGAGCGCACAGATCAGCTGAATATCCAAAAGAGGCAAGCCGTTTGATCTTGGCCTCCCTTGCAAGATCATCGCTGGCGAGGGTCACGCCGGCGGTATATCTCTCGGGCAGACACCACCGTGGGAGGTCATCCTCTGGGACATAGATAAGAAGCCACTCAAGAACCTCTTCCCGGTCTTTACAGGCAGCGGTAGCCTCTTCAACATGACTGCGTCGGAAGCCCAACCCAAGGAACTCCTCAATGATAGCTCCGCGCTCAGCCTCCGATATCTGTACATTGTAGGGATTCCAGATCGTATGCTGTCGCAACAGTTCCTCAAGCTCACGGCGAATTTTACTTCCCAGATCAACTTTCGGAGCTTGTGACCAGATCCTTTTCCCTTTGTTCTCACCATTTGAGCCTACACCCAAGTCGACAGCGGTATCCTTCTCTTTCGCCTGCGCCTTTTCTCGCTCTTTTCGTTTCTTTTCTAGATCTGCAGCAGCATTTTCCCGTTCTTGCTTCGCTAAGAATGGATCGGCTTCGTACATCCACCCTTTTCCTTCCTTGGTATCCGCGTTCTTAATGTCCGTGAAGTCCTCTTTCCACAACTTCTTATAGGTAGGCGGGAGCATCATATGTAGGTTTCTCATGTTGCAGACTCGAAACAAGGCGTACGCGGCAGCGAAATGACGAGCTTCCAGCGCCGTCGGCTGCGCCGCCAAATGCTTGTGCGATGGTGGCGGCTTCATGGGAGGAAGTACGGTCATTTCTCGAGTCTTGGGATCGATCCGTTTCAATATGACTGAAGAGACATAGCCGTCTGAAGTTTTCATCTATGGACGTGCGATATCCTGTCAGCATCGCTAGTGCGCACAGCAGACGAAGGCGCCCTAGAATCTTTGCGCTCATCCACTCACCATTGTATATTCTGGTTTCTCCCATTTCTGCTTCTGGCAATGCTCCGCGAGCATATTAACCGGCAGCTTTCCAGTCCATGATGCACCCCCAATGACCTCCTTCACAGATGGTTTCTTCGGTTCCTCCGTGGCGGCCTGCGCTTTCTTCGCGTTTTCAGCCGATCGCTCAGCGGCGGCTTTGGCTTGCTTTGTCCCGGGCTTGGGACCTCCACGGGCGTCGGGCTTCTTCTTGGGACCCATTGTGCGAGTGTTGCTTTATACTAGGCAGACGCCCGTGGAGCAACTCAGTGATTGAATCGCAGGGATGCCGAACGGCGTGGACGGTCTTGATCTGCTGGCGGGCAAAAAAGGCTGTCCCGCACTAGAACCACTTACTTTTATCAGGAGCTGCGGGGACCGCAAACCTTCCCGCTCTCCGCATCTTGGTATTGCTAGTGAATCAGGGACGATCATGGCCAAAGATCAACCGATAGTGGATGCTTTAAGGTTGTTCACTGGTAGTCCGCTCTGGCGCAAGTCTATATAACTCAAACACATTCGTGATCACAATGTCGGGTGAATCACCAATCCTCGAAACAGAGCAAGCCGCGCAGGCGATGACTTCCACATCACGGGCAGAAAAGCCAGAGAAGCCAGCGAAGCGAGATGCCTGTACCATGCGTGACCTGATCCCCTTTTTCCACGAAAAAGTCCAACTGACTTGAATCCCAGTCTCGGAGCTTCTATCACCCAAGAACAAGCAACCGAAACAAGCGAGCCATCCCCCCTCAAAAACGAATATAAAGAAGAGGTTTGGCGCGCGTGATGGTTTGGGCGCCTACATCGAAAAGCCAGAGTCATACCCGTCCAACGTCGTGGTATACTACAACGCTGATTTTGTCGTAATTCATGACATGTTCCCCAAATCTACGTTACATTTGCTATTACTTCCTCGTGACCCAGCTAAAACGCGGCTTCATCCATTTGAGGCCTTCGAAGATCCAGAATTCCTGAGCAAAGTCAAGGCCGAAACGAGGAAGCTTCGCACTTTGGCTGCGGCCGAGCTGAGACGCAAGTACGGGAAAGATTCAGCCCAGGACAAAGAGAGACAGGATGCTTTAAATGCAGACCCACCGCCTGATGTGCTACCACACGGGAGAGATTGGGAGAAAGAGGTCATGTGTGGTATCCACGCGCACCCGTCTATGAATCATCTACACATACATATCATCTCCGTGGACCGGTATAGCGATCGCTTGAAGCACAGGAAGCATTATAATAGCTTCTCGACCCCTTTCTTTGTCGATATCGAGGATTTCCCCCTCGCCAAAGATGATGCGAGACGACATCCGGACAGAGAAGGGTATCTACGGAGAGACTTCAAATGTTGGCGATGCGGGAAGGATTTCGGCAATAGGTTCGCCGAGTTGAAAAGCCACCTTGAGGCAGAGTTCAAGGGATGGAAACAACTTTGAGTTTTAGGGGTTTCATCATTTCTTAGTTTCCATCGTACGTCATAAACGGCCGAAATCGTCAGCTTGTTGGGCATGAGCTCCAGTATAGTAATTTGATTGGTAGTAACAGGTTCAGCTTTCAGATGCCAACAGTTTCTATCATAAATATACACCTACTATCCTGGACAGAAGCCACCTGAACCTCTTGGCCGATTACATTCTCAGTAATCTCTTGCCTCGAGTCGGTCCACTATGGCCTACGCCAACGAGACCATAGACGGCCTGTACGCAGCGACTAAGTATCATCAATCTCAAAGCCACCGTATCCGCCTCGAGGCTTTTAGGCACGACTCTTGGACCGGGAGCTACCCTTGACCTTTCTGGCCTCAGGGCGGTTGATGTGGTGAGCTGGGATCCATTCGGCGTTGTAGGTGGTAGCGGAGGAAACAGCGGGGCTGCTAGGTCCTTCTTCGGCCTTCTTAGACGCTCCAGAAGACTTCTTGGAGAATTCGGCGGGCTTTCCGCCCTTGCGCTTCTGAGGGAAGTATGGCGCAATCCAGACGGTGTAGAAGAAGTAAACTGTACCAGCGAAACAAGCCAGAAGGAAGAAGTAGAGGAAGATACTAAGGTCATAAACAATAAGCCAACTGTACCTGACCGCGAACGGGATTTTGGAGTAGCTCACATTTGGGGATCGAAGATGCTGGTCTCGGGCTCGACCACGCTGACGGTGCCATTGTGGGCGTAGACAGTGAAGAATCTACCCTCGCTGTCGGAAATGATGGAAGCGATGCTAAGTCTCAGGTCCTGAGGGTGCATTTCAGTGGCGAAGCTGTAGCTAACACTCTCCTTCTGGCCAGCGGGGATCTCAAGACCATATCTGGTGGCAGTCAGATTGCGAACAATCTGGCTCTTTTCATCGAGAGTCGACAAAGTTCCACCAATAAAGTTGACGGTCACAGGAGCAGGTTCGTCATTGGTGAAAGTGATCAATGCCTGTGTTGGGTGACCGTTGACAAGCTTAACGCCGAAGATCTCGGAAGCAGGGAAGGAAGCCTCCGCCGATACAGCCAAATTTTGGACCTCGGGGATGTCCTGCGCATTCTCGGCAGCGTCCTGGAGGATGGCAAATTTATGTAAGTAACTCAATTGACCTAGAATGATAGCAAAACTACAATTCGCGACATACAGCTGCGAGACCACCGCCGATGAGGGCCTGGACAGAGAACAATGCCAGCGAGAGAAGACCGAAACGAGCCATGGTAGTAGAAGACTGTACTCAGACAGGTAAGAATGAAATAAAACAAAGAAGAAAGAAAGAGAGGGGATGAAGAGGAAAGGGAAGTGGAGTGGAAATGGTAGGATAGTGGAAGGGGGGAATTGAGGTGCTTTTTCTCCACGTAGTCAACAAGTTGGGAACTTCCCCATGCGCTCGCTGACTCATCTAAAGGCAGCATGCAGCTTCTGATTGGTCGTTGCTTAGATCCCTTTCCTGCCAGTTTATCAACTGTTTAAAGTACCATACTTTACTTCTTGCTCTGCATTGCTAAATTCTAATGTAACACAAAGAAAGCGAAAAGCAACTGTAAATATTTCATGTTTTCCCTCATTGAATATTTATCATTGAGAGTCATCAAGGTGAAACTTGACTCTAGTGAATTTCAACGCTTTTAGATTCCTGTTGCCAACCCCTACAACCTTCCTTTAGAACAGTGAATGGTAACACAAAATAAAGTACTTTTAGATCTGATTACTTCTGCATCATATCTAGCCCTTTCTTTACTCTTCTAATACCCCGTACTCCGTACTACCATCTATATTTCTCGGCGCAGTGAGCTATCTTACTACCTTATCCATAGGACCCGCCATAGTTCACCATGGAAGCTCAGGCCTACGCTGAGCGCTATAGACAGGTGATGTCTATAGAGCAGACCAAGAACAGCCTGATTGAGGTAATCATCTCAGCTTCACTTCATCTTAAGTCTTCATATTGACTGTTTTCTTTCTTAAACTAGGAGCTTCTGCGACGAGTGGTAGAGCTTGAAAATGCTCTTCAGCGCCAGAAACTTGACCATGAACGCGAGAAGCATTTTAATCGTGAGATTCAGATCCATGAAATGGAGTTAATGAATGAAATCACCCGAATGAACGAACTCATGGTGAGCTACGACAAAGCCTTCAGTTTAGTCTCCTTCTAACAACATCTCTGCCATTATTGTAGCATCGTGAACCCTTTATGATTGTACTCCTGGACGGACACGGCCTCATTTTCAAGGAGGAGTTTCTGGAGCAGGGTGAACAAGGTGGAAAATATGCAGCAAAAGAGCTCTCAACTGCATTGCAAGACTACATTACCACCCATTTCCCAAACATTGCCTCACCCAAGATCGTAACAATGATCTATATGAATGTCAAGGGACTGGCCCACCTCTGCATTCAAGGAGGAATCAAAACAGAGCTCTCGGTACTTGAGGGATTTGTCCGAGGCTTCAATAGCAATAGTTTGCTTTCTGATATCATCGATGTTGGCGCTGGCAAGAATAAAGCGAGTGATAAGATCGAAGGTATGTGTCAGTCCTGATTGCCTCGTGCAGCCTGCTTTCACGCTGCGATTGGCTCTGTGGTGGGTTCTAATACGGTGGCTGGCCAGAGATTTTCAAGCGCAATCTAAACAACTGCCATTGTCATCAGATCTTGCTCGGTTGCTCACAAGATGATGCATATGCTCGGTTTCTCAGAGAAACAATGGTGGACTACAAGTACATAGGGAGGGTGACTCTCATCGAGGGCGTTCCATTGCAGGGAGGCATGAAGGCGATGAAGCCATCCTATAGGGTCGCAAAATTTACTCATATCTTCCGAGAGACGAGCATTGCATCGGCGTCGGCTCCTCAGGAAGCTGCAGTTGTCACCAAGCCCCCTTCCTCCCTTACACCATCGCCAGTTCAGCATGCAACACCACTCTCGAAAACGTCCACAAATACCACGATGACAAGTAATAGTCCTGCCTTGTCGAACTCCTCGAGGATAATGCCAAAATCCGAAGAATTCCAACCGGTCGTTCGCTCCATTCGCTCTAAGTCATCAAGTTCTCCCCCTCCCAAGGTCGTGGAACGGAACAAGTACGGCCAGCGTGTCGATCGCTTTGATATCAAGTCAATCCCCAAGGATGATTTGAACCGCATGAAAAAGCTAAAGCTTTGCAACTATTTCTACTTACAGGGCGAATGTCCCATTGAGGATTGCCATCATGATCACTCACGCAAATTAACCAAAAGCGAGCACCATATCCTTACGGTCGTTGCACGCATGACGCCTTGCCGCTACAAATCTGACTGCGATGATCCTGACTGTATGTACGGGCATCGTTGCCCTCATAGCGAGCCAGGCAAGAAGGACTGCGTCTGGGGCTCGACTTGCCGATTCGATGCCGCCGCCCATGGAGTAGATACGACAATTGTCAAGGTCACCAAAATATGATCAAGCCTCGCCGTTACGGTCTTGGACAGGCTCGCAATCTGTGCAATTGTGGCCACATGTGCGGTACAACACCGGGATGCTTCTGGAGTTGCAAGGTTGATACGGCGTAATCGAGTTCTGCTGCTTATGACATTGAATGTGAAATATGGATACCGGGAATTTCTTTGTGGTTGGTCTTGATGCAATGGTGGCATTTACTTTTCGTCATGTCGATTGATCCAGTCTCTTCTTTTGCCTCGCATCCCGAACTGGATCACTTGATGTCCCCTTGGCATTTGCCTTTAACTTGAGTTTGTTCGTTAGCTAGGCCTCAGCTCATTGTATGTA